GAAAAGTATTTTATGGGGAGTGCAAAAATCCTATTATTTCAAATGTATTCATTTTATTTGTTTATAGTGTTAGTAAAGTAGGTTTGTTATACTCACTGTGCAACCTAAGGGATTAATCCTCTGCATTGTGTAAAAAGGATGTTTGATCGTCTTTTCTGACCCTCCCCTTCTTCTACTATCCCTAATCCATCTCCTAATAGAACAAAGCCTAAGGGGCAAGCTACACATGCTCAGTTTGGTGTATATTGCTAGAGAGGTTTTTTTTTCTTGGAAGAGTGCATGTGATCAGCATAGGGCCAGACAGGGTCAGGGGCATGCAGCCTCATGGGACTATCGGTAAAATGAAAACGCCTCCTACAAGCTTTAACTAGTGCTCTGCTGGACACTGATAGAAGTCACACAATTGCACTAACTACTGATGAAAAACAGGTATTCAGCAGTTTATATTTACTAAATAATTGCATTTCCATGTTTTGTGTACTGTGGGAGACAAGATATAGGGAATGCAGGGTCCTGGGTTTAGTAACAATAGCAGTTACAACTCTGCTGTAATCAAAATGAAACCTCTCCCTTCCACCATAGTTAATCACATTGCCTTTACCTTATAAAAGCCTTAAAAACTGTAAAATACATTCACTGCAGGAACTGATTATCCTGGCAAGTGGTTGATCAAGTAATCCCTTTTCTAGTTATTATCTGCCATAGGTTCATTTACAAACGAAAGGAGCTTGAGAAAGGGAGACCATATTGCTCTCTCCCAGTTATCTTCTTTCTTCACCAGAAGAAACTTGTGCTCTGGAGTGAGGGTTAAAGAGTGGAAATGTTTGTTTCCAGACTCTAGGGAAAACAAAAGGTATGAGACAAAGGTTCATTTGACTGGGCTTTAACATTGCGTTTTGTAGATATCTAAATGAGTAGGTTTAGGCCCCATGTACACAGGACGTTTCTGAACGATGGAAACTGACTGCTGGAAAACATAGGTTAAAAAACGTCTGTTTAGCTGTGTTTGCATAATGCGTTTATGCTCTTTTGCGTTTAGAAGCGTGTTTTAAAGATAAGCACAGGAGAACCTCCCAAATGCCCAGAATGCACTGAAAAGTGGTAAATGATTAACTATTTCAGACTGTTTCAGAGAAATACACACAGTAGAAGCAGAGACAGCAGTATGTATTGAGATAATTAGGTGTGAGTTGCCCATTAACATTTCTTTTGTTTCCAAGGGTGGGAAGGTGTCTGCTGGAGTAAGTCATTAAGATCACCTGGCAGGGGGTCTTCATGAGGAATTTGAAGTGTGAAAGGGCATTAACATATCTTTTGTTGCCAAGGGTGGGAGAGGTGTGAGGTGTGAATTGGTCATTAAAATGTGTGACAAGCTTGGTAGGAACATCCTGTGTTAAGTGTTTGGTCCATCTGAGCACCTTGAAAACTCTTTGCATGCATTTTTCATGATGAAAAAAGGCTCTGGACAGCATTGGGAACTGGAAGAGTTAAAAAAAAATTGCAAATGCTTATAAACGCAATTTGCTGCGTTTAGATAAGTTTAGCCGCGTTTACAAGCGTTTTGCATTTGAAACACTGATAAAATTGTCGTCTGAACGCAAGTTTGTTGCGTTCAAGAAAAACTACTGTAAACTGAACTGCCTGTAAATGTCTGTAAACAACGATGTGTACATGGACACACAGGACAACATTAGGGTGAGTTCAGGGGCTGGTAAAATAACGCTGAACAGTTCCTAAACGTGAGTTTAGCAGCTGCAGTGTACATGAGCCCTTAGGCTTTATGGGTAGAATATAAAAAGTTCCAGAGAAATATAAATAAAAGCAAAAACACTGATTCAATGTAGGTACAGTGTGTGTTCATTAAAAAATAAAACACCTAGTGTACTCTGAAAATCAACTTATTTAGGTACCTAATATAAATACAAAAAAAATTGTAGCACTTATCAAAACAAAATACAGAATTGAAAATGTTATAAATAAGCAAAGGAATACCGTGTTGCCGCTACTCTCTGCTGTACGTTCCCACACCCAGCAAATTATACCATATCAAAAAAGTACAGCACAACTCACATATGATACATAAATCATACATAATCTATGCAAACAAAATTAAAGAATATACAGTGTATATATAATAAACACACGTAAAATTATAAGATCACAAATTAACCGGTTCCCGCCCGGCCTATGGCCAGATGGCGGCAGGGCGAGCACCTCGTCCCTCCGGGTGGATGCCATATGGCGTCCTTTCAGGCATGCGCAGTTTGCGTGCTCACAGAGCCGCGCAGCGGCGCGATCTGTCACCGGCCGTGTACCTTGGACATGGCCGATGACAGATCTGTGTACCTGCCCTGTTGCCTGTACCATGTGACCTGCTGTGACCAATCACAGCAGGTCACATGACAGTTGTATACAATGGATGGCTTCCTTTCACGCCATCCATTGTATACAAGTGTGTCTAGCTGTGAATGGTCACAGGGATCACATGCACAAGCTGGGCCAATCACAGCCCAGCTGTGTCATGTGATTAGCTGTGGCCAAATCACAGCTAAGCACAAAAAAAAAAACCCCTGAAAGAATCGATGTCATTCAGGTAAATGCTTGCTTATAGCAAAGTAATTTTTTGCGTAAAAAAGTTGTGTAAAAAAAAAATAAAATACTGATCACTTCCCCAAAGTAGTACAATGTTACTATGGTAACATTATACTACTTTGGTCATAGTGAAATATGAAAAATAATCTTACAAAAAAGTAATAAAAAATTAAAAATTAATAAAAAAAAAAATTATCAGTTTTTTTTTCGTACTGTCACCAGTCAGTTTCCCTGATCACCGCCATACCAGTTATATGATGGTGCTGTACTGCACTGGTGACCATATGTAAAATAAAAATAGTGAAAATAATTTTGTTTATTCATTTCTGAAAAATTATGACAAAAAATTACAACTTCCAAAAACTCGCCATGCCTGTTACATCGGACTGTCTACTTTGCAAAAAGGGGTCATTTGGGGGATATCTGTACTGTTCTGACATTCTTGGACCTCAAGAAAAATAGATTGGCTGTCAGTACTTCAGGATTGATCAATATTCAGATCCATACCATAGTTTGTGAACTCTATAACTTTCCTACAGACTAAATAAAGACTAATTTGAGCTATTTTCACCAAAGACATGTACTAGAATACATTTTGGTCTAAATTTATGAAGAACAATTATTTATTTGCAAACTTTTATAACAAAAACAATTTTTCACAATTTTTGGTGTTTTTTTTGTTAATTTAGCAAAAATTAAAAACCCCAGCGGTGATTAAATACCACCAAAAGAAGGCTCTAGTTGTGTGAAGAAAATAATAAAATTTTAGTTTGGGTACAATGTTGTATGACCGCGCAATTGTCATTCAAAGTGTGAGAATTGGCCTGGGCAGGAAGGGGGTAAAAGTGCCCTGTATGGAAGTGGTTAAACTGCAAATAAATGTGGCCATATATATTTAATTTAGACCTCAAAACCAATATATCACTGTGATAGTGCAAAGAAATATGTATTTCAAAGTAAACCAGTCCAAAAATAACTCCCTCTCAGTCACATATTTCTTTAAAATCAATAATGAAGATACACATATGTTTTCATGCATACTCCATAAAAGGTGTAGACATGCTCCACCGTATTGTACCACCACCTCTCATTGTTGCCGCTTACCTCAAATATTGACCAACACAAAATGTAAGGCCATATAACACTCAAGCCACCTGGGTAATAATTCCTCAGCAGTCTTCCAGTGTACTCTTGGCAGATTTTAATCACTTTTGCATCACTCAGACTGCAGCCCATTCAGCAGAGAAAATAAAAGGGAGAGACTCTCATGGTGCACTATAAAACTCTCTGTGATTTATTAGCCAGAAAGAATCAAATCTACTCACAAGCAGGGTGCTCTATAAACATCCAGTGCACTAGATAAATTCGTCTGTTTAAAATTACCTCTTTAAAATCACACTGCTCCCTTAAAGGTGATTATCTCTTCATAGATGTTAAAGACGGCCAAACATGGACTTCTGGGCATTATCACCTCATGTGGCCCTGCCACTGACGCGTTTTGGCTTGTGATACAGTGACTTAATCATTGAAGAAACACATGGCTGAGTTGAAGTTATTTTTGGATAGGTTTCCTTTGAAATACACAAGTCTTTGCACTATCACAATAATATACTGGTTTTGTGCTCTAGAGTGAATATATAAGGTCTAATTTATATGCAGTTTCATATGTGATCTAATAATTTTTACATGTGTATAATATATATATATATATATATATATATATATATATATATATATATATATATATATATATATATATATATCTTTATTTTTATTAGCATAAATTATGTATCATTTATGTATGTATCATATGGGAGTTGCTGTGCACTTTTTTTTGATATGGTATTATTTAGGTACCTGACCTTGACTTTGTGTCGGCCTCTTTCAATCCCTGTACAGCAGAGCTTAGACTTGGAGCAGGAAGGGCGGGTCTAGAGGCCGTTTTGGTTAGCTGTACTGCACAGGTGTGCTGACATGCATGCTGATGGGGAAAGAGCAGAATGAAAGAGATTAGCAAGTTAGTATGCTGCTTTTCCTGCACAGTCCAGTCACGGGTTTTGAGTAGGGAGAAGATCTAGTTGTATTACTTTACTACACTAGTAAACACATTCGGGCACCAGCCCGGCTCTGCTACCTGGCATAGCTAAATAGTATTTATATCAATTCATACCTGAAATTTAATCTGTTGGCAGGTAAGACTATAAAGTGAAGTTAATTGATGCCCAGGTATTTATTAATTTTAAATACAATATGGACACCTTTTTGACACTTAGCTAGTGTTCTGTGCCAACAGAGTGTTCCATTTTAATCAGTATTGTTTGTGTAATGTAATATTGCATATTCAGTTCATGCAACATAGAAAAAAAATCGTTGAGTTTGGGATATTCTGTTTTTCCACTCTACTATAGGTGCCAATGGAACGAAGAAAGAGGTATTTTACTATACGTAAGGAAGCAAGAGAAGCGGCAAATGCAGATTCTGGTATAGTTCTTACTTTTACTATCTAGCTTTTGAAAGTTGCATTTCTAGTACCTCTACCTAAATTCCCTGCAGTTATAGATATTTGTGATAGGATCACAATGAGGGTGTACAGATTTAGGCTAGGTTTACACTATCATGGTCCTGTGAACCACAATTTCTGCTGTCACGGTAGCCCATTCATTTTAATGGGCTGCTGTGCTTCCTGACACGCAGGGAAAAGGTCCCTGCAGCATTTTAGAAATCGCAGCTTGCATGGAAACTGCAAGTTCAGTTGGTTCCTAGTGTGGGAATGTTTTCCAGTGTGTGCAGCGTTAGGAATAATGGCACCCTCATATGTCTCCATCATTTTTCTGTGCGGGTGGTTGCAGCTGCGGGAACAGGCACGGTTGCATAGCAGTAATCACAGATGGGAACCTAGCCTTAAGATGGTTATTGTTAAAATTAAAAATTTGTATTTTATTTGTTTTGTTTGTGGTTGCAGATTTTTGAAGAGCTGTTATCTCTGTTGTAGGTACTCCAACAGCAAAAAAAAAAAAAAAAAAGCACGTAATTTTTTTTTTGTGTTCTGTCACTGTCTTGATGCTAACCTGTTCTTCGCCTGCTCAGCTCAAAGCAACAAGTTTGCATTACTCATACTACCCTCTACAGTATCTACTCATCTTTTCCTTCCCCCTCATTCCATTTCATACCAGTGTCCTCAGGAAATACTTGGCACTTCTGAATATGGAGGAGCATGTGACTCTCTCCATGTGATTGCTAAAACAATTAACACTGTCATACTTTGGGTGCATAGTCCTATGTAAACAAGGACTACAGTGCCTTGAAAATGTATTCATACCGTGTGAACTTTTTCAAATTTTATCATGTTACAACCGAAAATGTAACTGTATTATATTGGAATTTTTTGTGATAGACCAACACAAAGTGGCACATAATTGTGAAGTGGAAGTAAAATGGTAAATGGTTTTCAAAATATCTGAAAATTGTGGCGTGCATTTCTATTCAGACCCCTTTACTCTGATACCCCTAACTAAAATCTAGTGGAACCAATTGCCTTCAGAAATCACCTAATTAGTAGAGTCCACCTGTGTGTAATTTAATCTCAGTATAAATACAGCTGTTCTGTGAAGCTCTCAGAGGTTTGTTAGAGAACATTAGCAAACAAACAGCATCATGAAGGCTAAGCAACACATCAGACAGGTCAGGGATAACGTTGTGGAGAAGTTTAAAGCAGGGTTAGGTTATTAAAAAATATCCTAATCTTTGAGCATCTCATGGAGCACTGTTCAATCCATCATGCGAAAATGGAAAGAGTATGGCACAACTGCAAACCTACCAGGAAATGACTGTCCACATAAACTGACAGGCCGGACAAGGGGAGCATTAACCTCCCTAGCTGTCTGAATATGTCCATATTTCTGTGCTCAAAGCGGTACATTTTTTTGCATGGAAATATGTAGTTTTTTTTTTTTGTAGGCCTGTAATCTTAGGAATAACTCACAGAAATCTGTCCGAACAAGAGTCTAGTAAACATCCCGAGTATGTTAAAATTTGAAACACGAAATCATAAATTATAATTTAATAAATATTCATAAAAAATATAATAATAAATGTAATTCAATAATATAATCAAACCAAAAACACTGAAATTTGAAATAGAGCGCCAGTTCGCACATCACTGAGCAAAGTCGCAAAATCGTTTTCAGTGTCTGATGACGAATTTCCCCACAAATCATTATCACTCAATTCTGCAAGTAGTTCTAATTTACTATCGCTGTTCTCTAGCTTGCCTAAAACCGCTTTTGACCTAAAGGGACGCTTTTCGGACGCTATGGACTTTTCTCAGTTTCAAGGCAGAAAGAACAGTAAAAATGCAGGCAGGGCACAGGACAAAGTACTAGGGAGAAAATGTATGTGAAATGGTTTGATACAGTAATGTTTTACTATGTGAATTTAGTGAATGCCACTTTTAAAATTTTCAAATTTCCTGCCATTTCCGTCCCCGTACGTCCTGACGTCGCAGGGAACAGAACCCGGAAGACAGATGCCGGCATCAGCCGGAGGACATTGCCAGGGACACTGCAGGAGAGACATCGCTGGAGCGCAGGACAAGGTAAATGAAGAAGAAGAGATCCCGGAGCAGTACTGCATGGTATTCCCGAGTGTAGCTCGGGGTTACCGCTTGTGGTGCTGAAACTTTACGCCGAGCTACACTCGGGAATACCGCCAGGGAGGTTAATCAGAGAAGCAAACAAGAGGCCCATGCTAACTATGGAGGAGCTACAGAAATCCACAGGTCAGTTGGGAGAATCTGTTCACAGGATAACTATTAGTCGTGCACTTCACAAATCTGGCCTTTTATGGAAGAGTGGCAACAAGAAAGCAATTGCTGAAAGAGAGCTATAAGATGTCCCCTTTGCAGTTTGTCAGAAGCCATGTGGGGGACACAGCAAACATGTGGAAGAAGGTGCTTTGGTCAGATGAGACCAAAATTTTACTTTTTGTCCTAAAAGCAAAATGCTATGTGTGGTAGAAAACTAACACTGCACATCACCCTGAACACACAATCACCACCGTGAAACCTTCCACTTCACAATTATGTGCCACTTTTTGTTGGTCTATTACATAAAATACGTACGTTTTTGGTTGTAACATGACAAAATGTGGAAAATTTCAAGGGGTATGAATACTTTTGCAAGGCACTGTATGGAAGCCAAAAGAAGGTATGTATATTCTGCTGCAGAGGGAACTATTAAAGTGAGCCTGTTGCTTTATTCTGCGTGGAGCACAGAAGCAAGTTTCATTTTTGTCTTCTTTCTAAATTGCTTTTTTAATAGCTGATGTCTATTGATTACCTTGTTTAATAAAAGCTGAACATGAACTGCATTTATTCGCTAGTTGTTTTTGTATAGTAGTGCTTACAATGAATAAATATGCATTGGAAGAAAAGTAGTATGCAGTATATGCATGTGTGTAGGTATAGGAGAGGTCATTGCTGTAAAATATGACTTGAATATGAATCATTTTTCTTTCTTTCCCTGGGAAGATGAACCCCAGTACTTATCTTCACAGTCATACATGGCTGATAGCAGCCTGAGTGAGGAAATGAGCCAGTTTGATTTCTCTACTGAGTCCAGAGTTTTTCCTACAGTTCCCAGGATCCTATGAAATCGCAGAGACGTAACAGAAAGAAGGTACAAAAGAATTTTTAATTACTACAGTATAATTTAGTAAGGGGCTCCAGCTGACATTTCCTTTTGCATTATTTATAGAAACATTTATATGATCAGTGAATTTACAAAGGAGATGGATCAAAATTTATCTGCAATGTTTTGGAAACCTCTATCATTCTGATTTAAAGGCAAGCGCCACCTTTTAGAGTATGGTATATGTTACCTTCATATTTAGGTGTAATATGTAACATACTGCCAAGTTGCGCCCTCCCATTCCGACAGAATGTGAGGGTCCTGCTCCCCAGCAACAACTGTCAGTTTTGAATTTTGTGCGGCTACAAGTCGCCACTGCAGTGGACAGCTTTACGGTTATCAATTGAACCTAAGTGTTGTGATTACTGCACTGTTAGTCACTGACACTTCCTCCAGCTTTCTGACCGAAATTTGTACCTTGGTATGGACGGAGAGCTGCAGGAAGAGCCTGCAGGTGCCTGTGCATTGCTCTGGTGATCCACATGGTTGCAATGATTTGCAGATTAATTTAAAAAACAATTATACATGCACATTTTTAAACAGGGTTACTTTATTGTTCTTCACTTAGACTTAGCCTTTAATTTATGAACATTTTTTTTATTTTGATGTGATATAACTTTCCAAAAAAATCACAAACTCTAAGGCCCCATTCGCACTTGATAATCATGAATTACACCGTTTCAGTTAGCTGTGGGAGACCCAACTGCGGTTCCCTGTGATTACTGTCTGGGTCCAGGGCTGATCCACAGATAATTGCTGTAGGAGCAATCACATGCAATATTAACCACTTGACCTCCTGAGGATTTACCCCCCTTAATGACCAGGCCTCTTTTTGCTACTCGGCGCTGCACTAATTGAACTGATAATTGCGCGGTCATGCAATGCTGCACCCAAACGAAATTTACGTCCTTTTTTTCACACAAATAGAGCTTTCTTTTGGTGGTATTTGATCACCTGTGCGCTTTTTATTTTTCATGCTATAAACAAAAAAAGACCAAAAATTTGGAAGAAAAACAATATTTTTTACTTTCAGCTATAAAAAATATATAGTCCACTCAAAGTTGGTTATAAAATTTAGGCCAAAATGTATTCTGCTACATGTTTTTAGTAAAAAAAAATCCCAATAAGTGTATATTGATTGCTTTGTGTGAAAGTTATAGCGTCTACAAACTATGGTATAGATACTGCAATTTACGCATTTTTTTGCTATACAGCGCTGCGCTAGTTTAACGGACAATTGTGCGGTCATGTAATACGGTACATAAATTAAATTTATGCCCTTTTTTTCACACAAATAGAGCTTTCTTTCGGTGTTATTTGATTGTCTGTGCGCTTTTTATTTTTTGCGCTATAAAAAAAAAAAGGCTAACAATTTTGAGAAAAAAAAAACAATATTTTGGACTTTTTGCTATAAAACATGTCCAGTAAAAAAAAATTTAAAAATCCAACTTCGTCATAAATTTCGGCCAAAATGCATTCTGTGACATGTCTTTGCTAAAAAAAAAAAAAACGCAATACGTGTAAATTAACTAGTTGCCGACCGCAGATAGCCGAATGACGGCTGCACTGCGGCCGGCCAGTTCTGGGTGGACGTCATATGACGTCCTCCCAGAACGCGCTCTCCTGCGCGCCCCAGGGGGCGCGCACCCGGGATCTCCGTGATCGCTGTGTCCTACGGACACAGCTGATCACGTGATGTGGTAAAAGGCCAATCACAGCAGCCTTTTACCACGTGATCAGCGGTGTCCAATGACACGCTGATCAGAGGGAAATGCAAGTGCCGGTTCTCGGCTGCACTTTCCTCACGCTGTCAGATCGTGAGGAAAGTACTGCCAAGAACCGGCAGTTGTCAGAGCGAGGATCGGCACCGATCATCAGGGCACTGATGATCAGTGCCCTGATGATCGGTGCCCAGCAGTGCCACCCGCAAGTTCCGCCCACCTGTGCCCAGCAGTGCGCCCACTAGCTCCGCCCACCTGTGCCCAGCAGATCACCCACCTGTGCCCAGCAGTGCACCCACCTGTGCCACTCTGCAGTGCCACACACCTGTGCCCAGAAGTGCCACCTACTTGTGCCCAGCAGTGCCACCCACCTGTGCCCACCCACCTGTGCCCACCCACCAATGCCACCCACCAGTGCAGCCCAGCAGTGCTGCCAGTCAGTGCCACCAGTCAGTGCTGCCAGTCAGTGCCCAGCAGTGATGCCAGTCAGTGCCGTCTATCAGTACCCATCATCAGTGTCACCTATCAGTGCTGCATATTAGTGCCATCTATCCGTGACACCTCATTAGTGCTTTCTATCAGTGCCGCCTATCCGTGCCACCTCATTAGTACTGCCTATCAGTGCCCTTTAGTGCTGCCTATCAGTGCCTATCAGTGCTGCCTCATCAACGCACATCAGTGAAGGAGAAAAATTACCTGTTTGAAAAATTTTTTATAATAGAAACAAAGAAACTTTTTTTTTTCAAATTTTTTTATTTATAGCGCAAAAAGTAAAGCGCCCAGTGGCGATTAAATACCACCAAAAGAAAGCTCTATTTGTGAGAAAAAAATGATCAAAATTTCATATGGGTACAATGTTGCATGACCGCGCAATTGTCAATCAAAGTGCGGCAGCGCTGAAAGCTGGAAATTGGCCTGGTAAATAAGGGGGTATAAGTGCCTGGTAGGCAAGTGGTTAAAAAATCCAATTTCCTCATAAATTTCGGCCAAAATGCATTCTGTGTAAATTAATTGGTTTACGTGAAAGTTATAGCGTTTACAAATGGCGGGAAAGATACTGGGATTTTTAATTTTTTTATAATAATAATGGCGGCGATCAGTGACTTATGGCGGCGATCAACGACTTATGGCAGGACTGCGGTGGACATTCTGACACTGGTGGGGAACTGACTTGGAGTCACTGACATCCCCAGTGACACCAATACAGTGATCAGTGCAAAAAAAACAAAACACTGACACTGTACTAATGGCACTGGGGAGGAAGGAGTTAACTTTTTTATTCACTTAAAGGGTTAACTGTGTGAGGGGAGTGTTTTACTAGGGGACGGGGGTGTGTACTGCACGGGGACACGCTGATCGGGAGAGATAAACTCCTCTTCTCTCCCGATCAGCGTGTCAGGAGCTGTCAGGGAACTGACAGAAAGCAGAGCTACTGCAGCCTTGCTCTCTGTCAGTGATTGCCGCTAATCGGCGGGACACAGCCGGTAATGATCTGCCGTGACCCAGCGACTGACACCCGCGGCCGGGATTGGCGGTGCAGGTAGGGAGGCGTTTTAAAACCGCCCTGCCGCCGTATTTCTACAGTGGCTGGGCGGCAAGTGGTTAAAAGTGGCGGGAGATGTTAGCTTCCCATTGCTTTCAATGGCACTTCACACCTGCAGCCAATTACAGGGAACCCCCAATGGGTGTCCCGCACCTTATCACAAACGGTCCCATTCATCTGTGTGAATGGTGCCTAATCCTGGCCTAGGGGTTAGGCACCATTCACACTGACGAATGGGACTGTTTGCGATTAGGTGTGGGACACCCATAGGAGGTTTCCTACAATTTATTGTGCTTTGCTAACAAAAAGTTGTATATACTCAGGACTGGGTAAAACTCTGTTAGAATAATTTGGAATTTTCAGATGTTTTCAGTCAGCTGTTCAACCTATTTAACTTATTTGTTTAGGTAATTCTGACAATTTTCCTCAGCTTTTTGCAGAGAGTAAGGCAATGTTCCCATCCTTTTGTGTCCCATGAGGTAATGCACTCTGTGTATTTTCTAGCTCCTGTTATCCGCCTCCTCCCCCCCTCCCCCCTCCACTGCCACATTTGACACCTTTTGGGGCAGAGGGGGGAATGGGTACCTGGTTTTGACAGTCTCCCTGGGAAACTCAACAGGTCCCAGAGGACTGTGGCCCATGGAAGAGTCGGCTTAGGGTGAGGATTTGTAGCTGCTGACTTTTAATTTTTTTTTTTTTTTTTTTTTGTGTGGGGGTGGTTAGGTGGGGCCGGAACTCCGCTTTAAACTACCACATAAACTTACCATTATCCATTCCTTCCAAAAATCAGTGTGTGACTGTGTTTTTACTGTCATATATTGCAATGGGAACAGTAAGAGACATTGACCTTCTAATAGATGTACACTGTCTTACATTATTATTATTATACAAAATTTATACAGCACCAACAGTTCACACAGCGTTTTACAACTTAAGGGCAGATAGTATAATTACAATACAAATTAATACTGGATGGATCAGAGGACCCTGCTCTTTAGAACTTACAATCTAAGATCATGTGAAGGTGGTAGGTTAAAATGTGTGCTATACTTTAATATGCATGCTCTGTTATAGATGTGATCTTATGATTTCAGAAATATTTCCTAACATTTTGTCATGGCAGGAACTGAGCTCAGAGACTCGGGCACCAGATGATGTGATGGAGTTTGAAATGGATGAACTGAATCAGCATGAATGTATGACAACTATGTCTGGACTGATTAAACACATGCAACGAAATGAAATCACACCGAAAGTGGAAGAAGTATGTATGAGTACTTTTAAATGGACATTTTGTTTGTGCAAATTGTAAAAATATGATTGGTTAGGTATTATTTTTTTGTCTGTTTGTAGGGAGTCACACCACAAGATTTGCCCCTATGGATGAAATTTTTGCATACCAAACTTGGAAACCCATCCACCCAACTGAACATTCGTCTTTTCATTTCCAAACTTATTGTCAATAGTGAAGAGGTAGGCTTCTTACAATTTCATATGATAAGCTGACAGAATTATGAAAATACAGCTTATAAATGCCAAAACATTATTAGCATATACTTGTATAAAATAATAGTGGTGTTTAGTGCATACATAATTCTATACTTAGGCATTTCTGAATAATTAGGCAACAGTTATGCAATCAATTATTTTTATGAAATCCGCAAATACGTGTCAAATAATAGTTTTTGGGATTTTAGGTTTTCCGACCTTATGCAAAGTTTTGGATTGGCCCCATGTTGCAGTTGGTTGTGTCTGGAAATAATGGCGGCACAGGAATTCATTACATGGTGGTAGAGACAGTTGTGACCCTTTTGTCTTGGTCAAGCATTGCAACACCAACAGTAAGTTGATCAATTCAACGATTTGCAAAGATTCTAAGCTTTGAAAGACATTTCCAGTTAAATAATTTTAGAATTTATGTATGATAATGTCCAAACATAGTGATATTTTGCTTTTTTTTTTTCCCTCAGGAGCTTGCAAAGGATAAGATCCTGGCTAACAGATTGCTTGAATTCTTGATGACACATGCATTTCATGAAAAGAAGGCAGTGTTCAGGCACAATCTTGAGATCATCAAAACAAGCCTGGAATGCTGGAAGGATTGTCTTTCTGTTCCATACAAGTATGTGTGGAGAATTTGTAAATATTTTATTGCAATTTCCGCATAATTTTAAAGCGGAACTTTACCCATAACAGCTTGATAGAAAATAATGTTCTTTATCAAGGAACATACATCCCACTTTATTTATTATGTTACTGAAATTTGTGTGTGCTGTAAATTGCCTTCAGCATTCTTCCTGTTTCTTCTTGCTGGAGGATGCCATTTTGCTGAAGCCCAAAGCCCTTGACTAGCAATAAATCTTTAGGCTGTCAGAAGATCAGCCTCTAGTTGCTCTGATGTTTGGCACAATTTCAAAAATGGAGAGCAACTGAGCATGATCAGAGTGAGACAGTATATTACTGAATTTTAAATAATATAGATGCTTGTTTTTAATGTTTTACATAGCTATACCTGCAAAATGGACCAGTCTGAAGTGATCTAGCAGGACTTAATTTTCTGACTAAAGTTCCACTTTAATAAAGATAAGTTTTGAAATGTTATTTAAACATTTAATGTTTTTTGTGTGCCTTTAATAGGGTAATATACGAAGGTTTTTCTGGCACTGACCCTGACAAGAAAGATAACTCTGTAGGAATTCAGTTATTGGGTTTAGCTGTGGCTAATAACTTTCCTCCATTTGACCAAAAATGTGGCATTGATTCTGACCGGTGAGTTAAGTGTGCCCTGATGGGGATATTTCACTAATTGTTTAACGTATAGAGCTGCATAAAAGGTTAATCTTACTCTACTGTTCAGTATGTAGGAAAGGCATTGTTCAATAATTGTTTCTTCTCTCTAGGTACTTTAAAGCACTAGCCAACAATCTTACATTTACAAGATTTAAAGAGGTTTATGCGGCAGCAGCAGAAGTACTGGGACATGTCCTTCATTACATTGCTGAGAAAGAGAAAGTATGTACACTAGGTTCAATACCATGTTGAGTTTGCTTATATTCCCTAACTTGGGGATAACTAAAACATTATATTGTTTGCAGTATTTCTATTTTGGGGGAATCCTCATTCGCATTTGCAGCATGCTGGACTCTAAGGTCAGATTTGAATGTTGCAAGAGCAAAGATTGCCTTTCAAAAGATGGCAAACTGCCTTTAAGTTATATGTACTGATAAAGAAAACCTACTGAGACAAATATGGAGGATGCAATTGCTGACTACCTTATGAAAATACCAATTCTCTGGCTGGTATGTTGATCCTCAGATGATCATAATTTCATATTCACTGACCAAGAGCCAGTTATCAGCTACATGCTTCTTTTGGGTCAGTTAATTCAATGTATTAATATAAGCACAATGGCCAGGTAGCTAACATTTTAAGAGGGGAGTGGTCAGCAGTGGCTTTATTTTATATTTCTCGCAGCACAGGTTCCCTTTAATAGATGATTACAGTGAAACCCTAAATACTCAAACCCATCCATCTTTTCATTATTTTTGAGCATGAGCAGTGCAGTTACAAACTTAGAGAAGCCCCCCCCCCCCCCCCCACCTGTCAATAATGAATAGGGGCTAAACATACAATCATACTAAATTACCTTTTTTTGTCATGCATCTGTGCTGTCCGGGTCCCTGTGAAAATTTTTAAAATTTCTGTCATACTGCGCATGTGCGAGGTGGAGAGCTTGACATCATGCACTTCATCTGCCGTACGACACTATATGCATCTGTTGAAAAAAAAACCTTCCCAGAGATCCTGCGACATCTTTTCACAGCAAATTAATGTAATTTTGTATGGTACGTGCATGTAATGAGATGAGTGTTTTATCTCGTGCACATTCAGTGTGACAATACTGTGAGATTTTGCAGTTTTGGTACAAGAATCCCCTGATGACAACGTTGGCATTGCTTTCCCAGAGAGCATTTGCGTGGCCATGGCTTTTTCACCACAGCCTTCAGAGAAACCAGGAAGTGGGGGAAAAAAGTAAGTAAAGCAAAAAAAATATATAAAAAGTGTTAAGCAACTTCACATCAGCATGCAGAGATGCATGCTGTTGTGAATTTTAAGGAAAGGAAGAAAAGGTCCATATTTAAAAGAAGTTCCAGGCAGCAAGTGAAACTAAACATTGAACTACTGATAGTAATTAGAAATTACTGCAGCATTGTCTAAATCAGAAATTTAAATCTGTTAACATTTATCTGTATTCTGTGTACCTCACACTGGTAGTGTTCTTGCTGAAGCTTGTGGTGTGTAACTTCCTCTTTTTTTTTTTCTCTCTCTCTGCTTCTTGTATCATTAACAATATTCAAACTTGAAGGCAGGTATAAATTTTATAAGCTAAAAGTACTGACAGTAAAAATATATTAGACCATCTGTGTGTGAGACAGAAAGTGGCATGTGTGATGTGTGCTGGGGAATCCTTATCCAACTTTTTAAATAGTAAGTGAAAAGGTTCCCGCATTACCCGCAAAAAGCATACGGGTGTATCACAGAAATTCCTATCTGATAAAATATACCCCTAACCAGGTAAGCTGTGTTTTCTGCATTTCAAAGCAGTTTGGGCCAGTTTGTTAATGGTTATGTGACATCTGCAATGTTTTAAACTTTTTTTTTTTTTTCTTAAATAAGAATATGACCTTCAATTTTTGTTTTTCGACCATCCCTGCAAGCCAAAATGCATTAGAACAAATATATGAGCTGCCACATTTATTCAGCCCTCTTTTAACATGTTCATTAATATCATTAACTTGTCCTGTGCTAAAAGCATTGTTATATGCTGTCAGTGTGTCAGTGTTGAGAATTTGATAACACACTGATAAAGAGTTATACAGGCCATAGACAGGACGTTTATCGGCCGAATTGTCGGCCAATAAATGAAAAATTGGTCGTTGCTGCCACCAATGCTTACGAAAAATGGCAGTAGAGTAGAACCGCGAAAATCGGCCGACGACATTGCCCCACTAACGGTGTGAATATCGGCCTATTTTTCGTTTGGACGAAAATTTCGGCCGATAAACGACCCGTCTATGGTCTGCATTAGTTACATAATTCGTTTTGTTGACAAATGACAAAAGTCCATCCAGCTCAACCCACAGAGATGAAAAAAAAACAAACAAATAGAGAACCTTTATATACACAATCCTATACCCACAACGGGTCCAGATAAAAACGTGATCTAATTTGCTCTAGTGGGTGGGGGAAATTCTCTTCCTCATTTCCCAATTGGGAATCGGCTATTTCCTGGATAAACGTTGCCTATAAATATTAGTATTCCGTTATATTTTGGGAATTTAGAAAATAATCCAGGCCTTTTTTTTTAAAAAAAAAAAACCATCTATTTTGCTGGCCAGAACCAGCTCTTGATGGAGACTATTCCACGTTTACAGCTCTTACTGTTAAGATACCTTCCTGTGTTTTGAGGTTAAAACTCTTTTCCTCCAGACCTAAAGAGTGTCCCCTTGTCCACTGTGATGACCTTAAAGTGAATAACTACACTTAGTTCACTATACGGACCACTTATGTATTTATACATCTTGATCATATCTACTCTTAAAATTCCTATTTTCTAGAGAGAATACATTCAGTGCAGCTAATCGTTCCTCATAGCTGATCTCCTCCATGCCTCCTATCAGTTTGGTTACCCTTCTCTGCACTTTCTCCAGTTCCCCAATAATCTTTTTGTGAACTTGTACCCAAAATAGAACTGCAAATTCTAGATGAAGTCTGGTCTGGTAGATATTGTGTTCTTAGAATAGTATATTGCAAGATATATCCTTACTCTCAGTGTAAATTCATGACTAAGGCACTAGAATAAATTTTTGCATCATGCATTTTTAATACTTAAATAAAAAAATAATTTAATTGGCACTATTCATAATATTTTCATGTATTTGTATTTTATTTTAAGATCGTAGAAGGCCCAGTGTTTGACTGTGTGGTAGAAAAACTAAAGCAACATCATGCCAGCAATAAAGAAGACAAGTTTATAATGTGTTTGAACAAAGTAGTGAAGAATTTCCCCATATTTGCAGACAGGTAAGACTTTTTACTTACATAGGTCTAGTACAGTTTGGTACAGGACTGGTTACATTTTTTTGTTGTTTACAGGTTCATGGCCGTTATTCTTTTCTTGTTGCCAAAACTGCATGGAGTTCTGAAGACCCAGTGTCTGGAGATAATAATGTGCAGGGCTGAGGAAATACCAGACCTTTATATTGAGCTAAAAAATAAGGACTTCAAACAGATTATGAGCAACCGGTGAGAGAGGTTTTTTCCTGTTAAGCCCTTATGTGTTCTGTCCTACATTGTGTAATTTATATTGTCAGATGTGTTTGTACGGGATACATACATTTTTTTAACTACATCACAAGACACAGGGTGCATCATATTGAGTTATGCCACCACTTTCAGGTGCATAGACACTAGCCAGGAAAGGCAAGATTCCCCACCCCAGCATATTTCCTTTCAGGTCAGCTAAGCTTCAATTTTTAACAATGAAAACCAGCGCAAACCCACATGATCAATTACATTACTCAGTGTAAAAAAACATTAATGTGCTAATAAAATTATATATAATAAATTATATATAAATTATGTTAATACAAAAATATATATATAAAATTATGAGTCCAGTGAAAAAACAAAGTGACAAAAAATCAGAAAAATCCCAGAAAGTATATATATATAATTAAAAAGTCCCGTGACAAAATTAATCAAATTAATTTATAATATATTTTCTATATGATTCTTCCGTGTTACGGATCCCTTCACCATCCACCAGTGCAGAAATCAACATTAACCGCACTCACCAGATAATGGTGAGTCACACGCCTTTCAGGATTGTTAAGGGCTCCTGGACCCCCTTTACTTTCTCTGAGACCTCCAAGTGCTGTTTCCTCTCATGTCTAGGTACCTCTTCTGCTTAAGCAGAAGAGGTACCTAGACATGAGAGGAAACAGCACTTGGAGGTCTCAGAGAAAGTAAAGGGGGTCCAGGAGCCCTTAACAATCCTGAAAGGCGTGTGACTCACCATTATCTGGTGAGTGCGGTTAATGTTGATTTCTGCACTGGTGGATGGTGAAGGGATCCGTAACACGGAAGAATCATATAGAAAATATATTATAAATTAATTTGATTAATTTTGTCACGGGACTTTAATTATATATATATATATATATATATACTTTCTGGGATTTTTCTGATTTTTTGTCACTTTGTTTTTTCACTGGACTCATAATTTTATATATATATTTTTGTATTAACATAATTTATATATAATTTATTATATATAATTTTATTAGCACATTAATGTTTTTTTACACTGAGTAATGTAATTGATCATGTGGGTTTGCGCTGGTTTTCATTGTTAAAAGTTTTTGGTCTTTTGTACCTGTGCACAGCAGCATCTCACGGGGTTTTATATGGTAAATAGGAAGTCCTGAGCGCTGAGGTTTTGTTTTTTTACAAGCTTCAATTTTTAGCTGTTGTCCTTAGATGCTAGATGCACCTGTGATCTCTCACTGAATATTTATTTCAAAGGGTGTTAGTGGCCTTTTCTGCACACCCCTGTAGGCGAAGAGAAAGGCCTCATCTAGACCAGTCTTTTACGGTCGTTCTGACAAAAGGGATGATACCCAGATTCCACATGTAAGAGTGCGGATGGCGTGTAAGGTTGCCATTTGCTGCTGGACCCTGCAGACAATGATCTTTGTGTGAACTCACTGGCAGGATGCTGTACAGGTTTTGGGCAGTGATCTCCTTAGGGGGAGTTGACTCTTTGGCATATGTCTGCGGTGAGCTTGTGCTTAATGACATCATCGCACAAATCTGTGCATGCGTGGGTGCAGTTTTAGTCTCTTCTGAGTGGTGGAGATGTGTGATTGGCAGCTAAGAAGTGGGCAGTTACAGTGCAGTTCTGGCACCGTTCCAGTACAGCTTCAAGGCAATGCAGCACAGCACAGCCAGTGCTTCCTCAAGTATTGGGACCCCTGTTAATAAAAAAATAATACGTACATACATAAAATAAGAAGGAGATTGACTTGCCACATAGGTGTATGGCATTGGCAGACCCTGCTTCCATACTGGGTTTCAGGCCTATTGACCCTCAGCAAGTACTTTGTTGGCACAGAGGTTGGGATGAAGGATGATAGGGTCAGTCCCAAATACCTCTATTAGGTAGGTAGATTCCCTCCATAGTTCACCCTGTAATGGCTCCCCTAAGGGTCAGATTAGATCTGAATCCCTGTCCTTCACAATCCTCTGGTTCACTTGTGTCTAAGGAGGAATTTTCAGCATCCATTTTTAATTTGCCCGTTCAGCTCTCGGGAGCTGTCACGTCTGTCGGATGTGTTTCTAAACTGGCAGCCCTTTCTTGTAAAGAGTATTTCCTAATACTTCACAATGACAAGCTTGTCTTATGCCCATGACCATCCTTTCTTCCAGAAATGGTCTCAGCATTCCACCTCAATAAGGACATTGCCCTCTTATCCTTATGTTGTGCTCCCAGGCATCCAAAGCATCTACATTGCCTGGATGTAGTCAGTGCCATTAGAATATACCTAAAGATTGCTCCTTCTATCAGATGGATGGATTCCTTCCTTGTTGTTATCTCTGGACCTTGCAAGGGATACCCTGCTTGAAAGTCCACCATTGCACAATGCATGCAAAATTTTATTGCAATAGATTACATTCTAAAAGAAAAATGTTCTGCGCTATTATGTGCTAACTCCCATCAGTGGGAATTTCCTGGGTACTCTGACATCAAACTGCTGTTGCTCAGCTTTGTAAGGTCAGCACCTGGCCTTCTGTTCATGCATTCTCAATGTTTACAGTCCAGTCTTCTGTGGATCCTGCTTTCAGCCATAAGGTTCTTGCAGTGGCACTCTGAAATTAGGCCTTTTGACCTTTGTTATTGTTGGGCCTATTGGCACAGTTTTATTTGTATTGTTGTTTCCCACCTTTCCTATTCATTGATTGTGGACATCCCATGATGTATGAATATTCTGCCTGTGTTCAGCACTGTACAATTAAGGTTAGAGGAATGTAGACTTACTTGTATATACCATATCTTGAAGTGCAGTACAGGACACCCTCCCTTTCATTCCTTGGTTGACTATCTGTTGCTTGCTACAAAACTGAGGATTCATGGAGTAGATAAGGCACCCAGAGAGGGTATCCTCTAAAGCTTTGCTAATGTCCAATCACCTGAAGTTACAAACCCATAGCCTATGGGGTTGTGTATGTTATGCTTTCTGTGCCGTGTACTGTATTTAAAGATATAAAATTCCTTTTATTGCTGCTTAGTTTTATTTGCAGACTTTTACGTCAAACATATATACTAGTAGTGGTTTTTTTTTTTTTTTTTTTTTTTTTTTGTAATCCTTTTTTTTTTGTTTGTTTGTTTTACCCAATTTTAGAGATGATGAAAGGCAGCGGGTATGTCTAGATATCATATACAAGATGTTACCCAAACTGAAACCTACAGAGTTGCAAGACCTTCTGCCTTCTGTCACTGCATTTAGCTCACACAATTTTCCCATTTGTCGTGAACGGATGTATGACATTTTGATGTGGATATACGATAACTACAGGTAAAAATCTACATTTGACTCTCTTTATACATAATTACCTTTTCTTAGAAAGATAATTTCATCAGAGCAGGTTAAAGAGACCCTGTCTTCAGACCTTTCACTTCAACAAAAGTCTTGCCATAAGATTATATTTACATTTAACATACTTTAGGTCTGGTATTTACCTGTAAAAGCTTCCTTTGTGTAAGCATTTAAAAGTTAGGAGACCTGCTATTAGAAACTGTCATCTTGGATGTGATGTTAGCACCTTATAGTATACCCCTTTGCTCCCTCCCTGGAAGCTACATAAAAAGTTATTTTGGAAGGCGCAGGGAGAGGTGGAGGAGCTGAGCTGGCACAGAAAGTAGACACTACCAGTAAAGCAGAGGGCTGTGACACAAGGAGGGAGGAGGCTGTACTAGGAAATAGACTCTCTCTGAATTAGTAGTTTTCTATAGAGTTAAAAGGCATATTGCAAGTAGATAAAAAATCATTTGTAGAAAGGAAAAAAAGTAAGCTTTAAAATATGTGATTTTTGTTTACTTTTACTTGCAGTTTTTGAGTTGGTTATAGACTCTCTTAATTCCTTTTTAATAGTAAGCAGAACAGTTTTGCCAAGCTTGAATACATTTTTTTCTTATGTACCTCCCTCTTGTACTTGTTTGCACACAATGCAGAGTTGCTCCCAAGGTAATGTTCTGCTTTGTGCCTTTTGAGATAATTATATATCATGGGATGTGTGTACTCCCTGTACAATCTCTTTCTTGGAGTCCACTGAGACATCAAGGAAGTATTTTGCCTTCTGGTTATATTGTTGCTTACAGGAACATTGGACACCGAAAGTGTAGATCAGCCCTCCCACTAACCGCATGCCTCAGTTTTGAAAGCAGTACCAAAAGCATGATCATAAACATAGGGATTTGGGTTCCCTCAATGGCTTCCAAGAAAAGAAATTCATGATGGGTACAAAATCTTTTTTTTTCTTGTCCAAGTCTAATTTATTTATTTTTTTTTCAAATGATTTTATTTTAGCAAGGTCTTTTTCCAGTTATATGGAAACCACATAGAAAATAACCATGGTAAAAAGGCACATAGCAATGTTGCAAATACCAATCATAGTGAAAAACATCTATAAGAAAATTCACATCCTTTTATGCAGTAGAGGATTCTACACTGATAACAGATATACATAGGTTTTTTTTGCCCACCTGCACATCCTTATTTCTCAACTAGGGATCAAAGCTCTTGGGCTATTGATCTCTCATATAATATGTCATAAAATATCATTATACCTCACATCCTCGGCAGCAGCATCCTGCCATCTAGCCCATAATAGATTGTGTTTTTGTGTGACCTCTTGCTGCTAATATGTAATTTTTCATATGCAGTAAGTTTTTTGTTTTATGTAACCAACTTGGGTTTTCACCCCACATTAACCATTTTAGTACTACCATTCTATGAGCTGCAGAGATCAAGTCATCTCTAAGGTGGCATGTGAGTCCAATTTAGTGCTTTCAAAGCATCCCAATGTACAAGGTGAATTTAGTAATGAGCATGCCAAAATTTCTGCTGATCTTAGAGTCTACCATATCCCAGTATCTCACAAGTTTTGGACATTTCCACAACATTAGGTCTTCTTGTTCTGAGCCACATTTGCTACAGCAAGAGGTTTCTCTGACTGTTATCCTTTGTAAAAAGAGTGGGAGTTCCATAGGCTCTATGCAATGTAACGAATTGTGTCAATCTGTGGTAGAGTACAAAGACCCCTGCAAATCTGTTTGGAGCATGTCCTCCCACGTCTCTTCACATAGGATTCCTAAATCCATCTCCCACTTTTGTCTCTAATTTAGTGGAAAGTTATCAGGGGATTTATGCAGTAAGTATAAGTACACCAAAGATAATAGCCCTTTGGCTATAGATCAGATTATACCAGGGGTGGGCAGTTCATTCTTCCTAGGGGCCACATGAGAACTGGGTCTGAAGTGGAGAGCAGAACCAAATTGTAGTGCATATTAAAATATATGTTGATTAAACGAAGAGCCTTGGGTGAACAACACTGGACTGGGAAGGTCCATAGGTACGTAAGCAGATAGAAAACAAACACCTGGTGCTAGGAATAATAGGTACAACTGCTTATGAAATTGTGTGAACACACGCGTTTATTAGAAGCAGTAGTGAAGAAATGTCCTCTGTCAATCTGTTGTTCACAATGTTGGTGTAGAACAGGCTGGTAAAAGCAGTGAGGAAGCTGACAGGCAGAGGGGTTAATGTAACTGACCTGCGGTTCTGAGTTTCCATATGTGACTGACATGCTCTGGGAAGTTGCTGATGTTGATAAGCTTGGCTATCTCAACATTTTGCTAAAATGAATTAAATGTGTATTTGTGGAGGTGATCAACTAAACAGATAAGGGTCTGGTGTGACTTCCTAATTATTGATATAGGATTTATGATTTGGGCTAACAGGCCCAAGAAAAAGCAATGGAGAACAAAAGACCAATTGACAGGCTTGCTAATCTGACTTCAGATACTTAACACAGAAAAGCCCAAGAAGCACCAACAGATCTAATATAATGCACCTTGACAGAAAAGAGTGAAATACAATCCTTGACACCATAAGATTGAATGATGGTCTGCTTGAGACACCTAGAGATGGTGGAGCAAGAAGCCGGTGTACCCTAACAGGCACCATCCTTATGTACAAAAAAGGAGTCCGTTTTCTGAAAGAAGTAGTGGCAAAGAGAATACTGTATATACTCAGAGCCCAAGCTGTACTGAGACAAACAAAGGAAATTCTTAAACCGCAAAAAGAATTACATTCAGGTTCTTGAAGTGCAGAGAGAACCAGATTTAGAGTCATAGGAGAACAAACTACATGGGAGATTGTGCAAAGGTCTTAATCAAAGAGTGAGAGGCCAGTAGTCTCTTAACCGCTTCCGCGCCGCCCTATAGCAAAAATACTGCTACAGGGTGGCACGGGTGTGCAAAATCACGCATATATACATGATTCGAACTCCCGCGGTTTTCGTGGTCCGGGGGGTGCGTGCACCCCCCTGCCGACCCATGGGTGCCGTGATTTGATCCCCAATAGATCAGTCATCCGATTTAGGCAGTGATGGTCGGTCTAAGTTGGATGATCGATCCCTGTCCTATCAGGGATATTCCTGTACCTGTGTTTACAGTTACACAGGTACAGGAAGTGATGACATCTTCCCTCTCTGGGCACATTCCTTCCCAGAGAGAGAAGAATCAAGACACAGTGAGTAAAAGCAGCACACTTTTCACAGTTAGAACACTTTAGGACACATTTAACCCCTGGATTGACACCCCCCCCCCCCCCCCCCGTTAGGCCCTTTACTGCCCTGTTACCAGTGTCATTAATACAGTGTACAGATTTTTTGCTGATCACTGTATTAGTGTTGCCGGCAACTTCAGATAGTGTCAGATTGCCCGTCAGTACACCAGTAATCACATTGAACCCCTTGATTGCCAGGAACATGCTCACATACACAGTAAACCTCCATTGTAATCCGCCAACCCAAATTCAAACCTTGCCAGACCATTCTCATGGAGACCCCTTACGGTTTCCAAATTTTAAAGTTTTTTTTTGGGCCTAACCCTCAACTTGGGCATTACTAAAAAAAAATTAATTGTGGTTGTATTGGTCAACAGACCTGATTCATCATATGCCCGTGTTCTCCGCTGCCATGGCCAGGCATAAATATGAGAGTATAATACGTTTTATGCATTTCAACGACAATACACTCTGTCGTCCTCAGGATGACCCTGAATTTGACCGGCTCCACAAAATTCTGCCCCTCGTAAATCACCTTAACCAAAAGCATTTGTCTATACTCCCCAGCAAAACATCTGCATTGATGAGTCCCTCATTAATTTTTCTGGCTGCCTCGCAGTCTAACAGCAAGTAGCAAGTATCAAGTATGCCAGATATGGGGTCAAGATGTATAGATCTGTGAGAGGGCAACAGGTTATACATATAAGTTTCGGATTTACGAGGGAAAAGATAGTCACGTGGAGCCCCCTGGATGCCCAGACTACATGGAGAGCAGTGGCAAGATAGTTTGGGACTTGATGTCATCCTTTTTCCATATGGGGTACCACTTATACATAGCCAATTTTTATTCAAGCGTGCCACTATTTAGAGATTTGTACAATCTTGGAATTGGCGCATGTGGCACCATGCGACCTGATCGCCAGGGCTTCCCCCAACAGCTTGTAAATACCCGTCTTAGAAAGGGGGAAAAACCTGCTTGAGAAATGAAGAATTGCTCGCAGTGAAGTGGAAGGACAAACGGGATGTTTTCGTTCTTTCTTCCATTCACGCAGACATGACCATCGAAATTGCCACGGCAGCTGGTGTTGTTGAGAAGCCCCTCTGTGTCCACGACTATAACCTTAACATGAGAGGGGTGGACTTCAACAACCAGATGATGAAAGCCGCACTTAGTTTCCCGAAAAGCCAGACGCTGGTACAAAAAAAAGTGTCTGTTTATTTATTTAAATTGGCTTTATATAATGCTTTTGTGCTTTACAAAGCAACTGGATGAAGTGGATCCTTCCTAAAATTCCAGGAAGAGATCATCATGGCCCTTTTGTATCCAGAAGGTGCTGTGGCCCAAACCCCCAACCCAGATGTAGTTAGCCAGCTGCATGAGAGGCATTTTCCCAATGCCATTCCCAACCCAACCCAAAAGACACCCCAAAAAAGATGTGTCTGTAGGAGACATGGAATTGGATGTGACACCCACTTTTTTTGTCCGTTCTGTCCTGGCAAACCTGATCTCTGCCTCAAGGACTGCTTCCATAGCTACCACACACTAGTGTGGAGTATTAGCATAGGGTACAGCACGACACAGTTCAGGGCACATATTTACACAGGGTCTTGAAAGATGTTAGGTAGTCAGGGACCTGGCTATTGCATTTTGAGAGACCCTAAAATCTGTTTTAAAAAAACAAAAAAGTAAAAAAAGCATAAATAAGAAAAAGTACAAATCCCCCCCC